TTTACAAATTTTACTATTTTTATTTTTTTTTAATATCTCTTCTCTACATTTGAAATGAAATTCATTGAATTCGATCGATCTGACAATTACTATTCAGACTATTTTTAAATACAATACATGTTTCTGAGTTTTTGCTTTATATTATAGATGATCACGAAGTCAAAAAAGTCTCCCCTCCTTATTGTTCATGTCCAAATTGATTAATTTAGCATAAGATAAAGTTAGATATTGAGATTCAGTCATTAAAAGTATTTTCGATAAGTAAAATGATATTGAGTTATGATTATATTAACATGACTCAGATCAAATAAAGAATCATTGAAAGCTCTGAAAAGTAACGAATAGCAGAATGTAAGAGTGTGAATGTCGGTAGGCATTTGGATCTTCTATTGTTCTAGATGCACATCCGTACACATACGAATCACCAAAGAAAGATCTTGATTTCATGGCAACAGTTGTCGAGCAGTGTCAAAGATTCTCATCAATATTTTACAGAGTCTGACTAGCATTTCATCAGAGTTAAAATATTGATTTATGATTAAAATACATAAGTACATATATTGAGACAATTTTATAACCAACCACAAGTTTGGTTTAATTTCTTGAAAACGTAATGAAGAGGAAAATCGTTTCCATCGATACCATTTAACTTTCAAGCTGAATCGTCATAGATGCACAAAAAGATCATAACTTTCTAGAATTATGAGCAGGTGTTTGCTAAATCTTATAATGACTAGGACTTTCTCTAAATTTTACTCAATCAGATTTCTATTTAATTAACATGATCCTAGTATTTATAGTTTGAACGGAGACCTACTCAACTCTTGAGAAAATCCGTATTTTTGTTTGTACTACAGTTTTTTTTCAGAAATGATGAAAATAAAGATAAACACCACTGCCTTTGTACGTTTAAACAGTTTATTATATCTGTTAACAGTTAATATACTTATGTTTCTGTTTGTAAGATTTTATGCTACTTCAAGAACATGTTTATTTAGACACGATAAGTTAATATTATGCTTTTCTTTTTTAGCTTTCATTCGAGAAAACTGATCAATAAACTTATTCAAAATTTTTATTGCTAATTTAAAAATGGCTACAAAATACGTCGATATTGATGAAGAACAAACACACACACAACGTTTTTCGGATATCGCTGAAGAACCTTGCCGAATGTTAATGCCCATTCAAGGCTATGAAGAAAAGCCTCTTGTTACACTTGAAGAGGCTGTGGAGCCTATTGTATCGTACGTACCTGATGTAAAACGAATGACCTACATTGCAAAAATGAAATGTGCAGAGCTTTCACCAGGAAAACTACCCTTGGATCAAGCAGCCTCAATCATGCTCTATTCAATGGAATGGCAGCCTTCAGAAGAATGTCTTTATTATGTCTTAAATCAGACACTACGAAACGAAAATCGAGAAAAAGTGAAACCGTGGTTTCTTTTTCTAAGACTGATTCTTACTGGATTGGCTCAGCTCCCGTCAAAACTTTCATTTGTTTATCGTGGCATTAAACGGGACATGAGAAAGGAATACCCAGAAGGGAAAACATTTGTTTGGTGGGGATTCAGTTCTTGTACATCCAAGATAAACATACTCCAGAGTAAAAAGTTTTTGGGTACAACAGGTCCAAGAACTCTCTTTACAATTGAATGTGACACTGGCAAAGATATTCAAAAATATTCTTGCTATAAAGCTGAACATGAAACTCTTCTTCCGGCCGCAAGACAATTTAAAGTCATGGGATGTCTTAGTCAAGGTGAAGATCTTTATCTCATACAACTCAAAGAAATTCAACCACCATTTCCTCTTATTGAACTTGTACCAATAGTAAGAACTAACATCTATTACATATTCATCAATACACATAGTTATGCATTTTTTTTCTCTAGGCACCTGCTACGAAAGTTTCAGCTGTAGCAGTAGTACCATCACCACCAAAACCCATGGTCACGAATATTACAACACGAGGTAGGACTTTTAAGAATCGATTTTCTTTTATTGTCAATCGATAGAGTAGCCTACCGCGATAGATGAAAGCAGACCGAGAATAAGAATTGTATACCTTTACATGTATTGATCATCAAATTGAAAAGAATTAATCAAAAGAAATGAGCTCAAACCTATTTCAAGTGAAAAACTTTCATTGTTACCAATAAATCAACCTGTTTTTAAGATGTTTCAATAGAGACTATCATAGATTTTCTAGAGCTACTATCACTGTCTCTTAGATGGACCCCATGTAGAGGTATTCACAAATAAGTACACACTTTTCAATTAACTGTTAAGCAAACGATAAGAAGTTTTGTTTCCAAGGAAAAAAATTTGGTGCAAAAAAACAACGTAGAAAATGTGTGAGCATCGAGTTTTGCTTCTCGTTAAGGATACAGAGATCTATGTGGAAAACTAGCAGTGTACTATTCATGTTATATTGTCAAAGGATTGCTCATGATTTGGAAACATGACTTAAAATAGCGAGCAGACCTATATTGGCTTCAATCGAAATCATCGGATATATTTTGTATTCGATTACGGCAAGAAATTGTTTTGAACATGAAATGCTTTTAATTTAAAATACCTAACGGCATGTAAGAAAATAATGTTAGTTAAAAGTAGACATATGTATTTTAATAATAGCGAGTCATTTGATGAAATTTAATAACATTTCCTTATGAATGAGATATAGTTCGGTTGAAAATAGAAGTTAGTTTTCGCCTTTTTGGTGATATTGGAGTCTTTCTATAAGTTCGTATAGCACCTTGCTTTTGAAACTCCTTAAGATTCTCTACAACGATACGTTTTGTATGAATGATGCGAATCGAATAGAATTCAAATCCGAATCTAGATTTTTCTTATTCTTTTTGGTCTCTGTTTTCCAAAGTAATTAACTTAGAATTGTACGTTTGAATATGGAGAGAAACCCATATCTTTGGCATGTTTGATCGATGGTGGTGTAAGAGCATAACAATCTCTCTTGCTTCGCTATCTCATCTTCTTTGTCAAATCTTCAATTCATCACTCTCACCTTGATCTGAAGTTGTGTGTGGTAATAGTAAACGGTCGTTCTAGGCTCTTTTTTAGTGTTTGCTTGTTTTTTTTCGCACATCACAAAATATAAAATGATATTTTATTAACTCACATTGACATCAAGCTATTCTATCGAAACACGTGATGACTGTTTAATTAAGTTCTACTCAATCAGATACTCTGAACTTTTGCTGGCGCTATTTCATAGATTTTCTTAAAAAGAAAGTATAGAATAGATGATTTTGTATTATACTGCTATAAAAAAGATTTTTACATCTCAATAGGGAAACCTCCAGTAACAGTAAGGCTAACAATTTTTATCTGAACCTAAAACAACGTGCAGTACTGTCTAGTTGGAGTAAATTTCACGCGAATCTTAGTGTCACGTAGTATTCCTCTATGGTAGTAGATCATTGCTCCACATAAAATCCCTTTTATATGGAATATATACTGCTATGAAGTTTTCTGTTCACTGATCGAAGTTAAAAGAAAGAAAACTTAAAAAAATAACAATTGGCTTGATTTGACTGTCATATGATAAGAAAGCTGAGAGAAATTGTTTTAGTCAGTAATGACTAAAACCAAGCCAGTCAAGGCATTACTATTTGACAAGAATTACTTCGTTTTATATGAAACTCGAAATTGCTCTTCTCATTCTCACAGACAATTTTATATTCTCATATTTACTGCTTGGTTTTGTTTTCGATACTTATATTTTCGATAACATTAGGGATTATCATGCCATAAAGCAAGCAAAATTATGTAATGAATCATACAAAAATGAATCATCTTCTCTTTAATGATACATGCAGTAACATTTTGAAAAGGATATCACTCGATAAAATCAATATTGATAATCTTAATATTATCGAAAAAACAATGACAATATAACAACGTATGTAGAAGAAGAAAAAGAAGAAAATTCTAAAATACTAGAAAAAACTGACTTTACGATATAAATAGAGATTTAAGATGAAATTCACTAGAACATTTTGTAAACAAGCAAAAACTGTATATCAGAATATTTCTATGGTCATCGAGACGAAATATGTTATTTCTATTCTTCCTTCTAAGTATCACTGACTTAAAATAATTATAGAAAGAACGAAGAAGAAAAGTAGCCTCTGATTTTTTCCGTCGCTTTTCATAATATATCATCACTAATCAAAAGAGACATTCTTATTATAATTCTGATAAAAGTCTTCTATAAATAAATATAAACGACCATATCACATATTTACCAAGACCATCATTTTTAGTCTTAAATTTTATCCTTTAATATGAGAATTGATTTGCTTCTATAAACAAGAAATAACACAAAATCCAAATTAACAGCCACCAACTGTTGAATACTAGCAGCAGAATTTATCAGTGTCTGAGAAATTCTATGTACATTCCATTCAAGAAAGGAATATAATATTTATTTACTTATAAAGTACAGAGTAGAAGAGACAATTAAGAAAACAATTATAGAAGTGCGCAGAAGTACAATGAAAAATAGAGAAACACGAAGACCTATGATAAAGTGTCAGTAATGACAAAAAAGTACGAATTATGCTTCTCTCCTTTTGATTAGTTCTTTTTCTTTAAATCTATTTACCTCGCTTTCGTTAATCTCACGCAAAGACACAGTCTGACAACTTTTTTCAAGAACTATAAAATAAAGAGAGATAAAGAGTTTGAGTTTTCAACACTGTCTACAGTACACAAGAAAATTCGACGTGTTTCGACCGAGTAAACGCATTGAATTTGGAAAATGATTTCTATCCAACCTGTAACAAAATTGGATTTCCGATTGTAATATAATGAGTAAAAAGATGTCTTAGACTGTTGAATTTTCCAAACTTCTGACTAGTTAGTGATCTTGGTCTTGTGTTTTATTTGAAAGAGATAGAAGCCATCTTCAATACCTCATTATGTATCCAACAATAAGTGTAAGAGGATTGTCTGTTGACTTTGTAACTAGATAGAACTATTCAGTTTATATATAGCGTCGAAAAACTGAACTTTTTAGTAGTGTTGTTTTAAAGGTATTCAAAAATGCCTAGGAGCACTTAAAACTAAAATAAACAATAGTTAAATATATGGAGGTAGATAGCTATATAGGTTTGTAGAGAAGTTAATCAGCAAAGAATTAGATCTTACTACGAATTGATGAATTTTAAATATTATAAGAATAGCTCATATGGACAAAAGAGTGATGGAAAACATGATTGAAACGAGACATAGAACTAGAGAAAAATTAAAAGTATGCATAAACATATGAAGAATTTGAACATTTTAGGATGATAATTGCGGTTCTTGACTGTGAGTTAGAATCTTTTACAAAAAAATTACACTTACCATCAGCTCAGAATCTATAACGAATACACCGTCCATAATTTCCCTAGTATGCAACAGGTGATCGGTTTCACGCTGCATGTTTCTGTATGTCTGTGAATGACAGCTGAACAACACGACTAGTCTCCGAAAATGGTCAAAAAATTGTTACTATTTCATAAGTTTTATTTTTATTTTTTGTTTCCTTAATTGACAAACAATATACACAAGAGAAAGTGCTCCGCTACTCAAAAAAGTTACTTTGTCTCAAGACTTGAATAGAAACTTCTTCAATCAGCTCAAATAGCAAAGAACGATTGCATTTTTTTTTCGTGACTATTCAGATCATTTAAGAATATTTTTTGAGTCGAATCTTTTAAAGATAAATGGTTTGCGTTCAATTTTCCGAAGCACTCTTTACGATCACTATCGATTAAAAAAACAATATTTGATTTGTTAGAACTTTACTGATCAAGAAAATCACGATCCCGAAAATATGCAGCGAAATAGTAGTATAGCTATTCAATACTCATCAACTTCCTTTTAAATAGCTTCGAATATATTAACTATGTCGTGCTGATAACCTTTCGATATTGCTTGAGATTAAATAGACACGCAGAGAAATATGATCAAAGTAGTTTGCAAAAAGATATCAACAACATAAATCTATTATAATTAAAAATTAGAAGAGCAGATATTACGTAAAGGTCCCTTTGAAAGCGTCTATATGTGCTATGTTTTTAAATACACTCTTTGCAAAAAAAGAACATATCTCCTTTGAGAAAGATTGAAGCATCCTTCGACTATTTCTCATTATAATTCCATTATTGTCAAACATTTTTCCCAAGGGGGAAATATTGGATTCTCGAGATTCCGTATCTCTATAAGTACGATGGGAAACTATGCAATACGATGAAAAGTCCAAAGTATGTAATGTAGATGTATGCTGTCATAGATAAAAAGTACCACTTTATTCGTTGAAAGCTTTGGAATTCATACCGCTAAAAAAACAGTAAAGATATGCCAAAATAAGTTATATATTATGAAATATGTATACCAAACGATCAAACAATAAGCAACTTTGTTGGTAGCTTTATAAATTAATTCATTTTCTAATTATAACAGTAAATATTAAAATGAAATCTTAATTCGAACATCAAACTTCAACAAATTGACAATCGAAACAATAAATGCGTTCTTTCTCTATGTATGAGCAGAACAGAACAAAACAATAAGATATCTATTCTTAAGTTATCATGCACAACATTTCAAGCGTCAATGCATCGACACATTACTGATGTCTTTCTATTTCCTACCGACTATTCTTTCTGAACTGAAAAAGATATATTTTCTGTGGACACATTTTTGTTGTCTAGTAGATCTATTTTCATCTGATATCGACAATTTTTATAACGTAGTCCAAAGAATTGCTGACATGGCAAAAGAATATTTGTTCGAAATTTACAGAGATTCGTCTTTTAAATCGAAAATTTCATGATGATGATAAATGATATCATTCATTGTAAAATTGAGTGAATAGAAAAAACACTGGACTAAAATGATTATTTAATACTAAAGTTTGTTTTTTAAATATATTTGAATATTCCTAATAAAAAATAGGAAAAATTTTGACATAATTATTTAAGAATAGAAAAGTAATTTTTTTCTTTTGAAATTCATATTCATTTAAAAAAAAGAAGACTATTCAAATCTTTCTTGTAATGTCTAAATGATTGAAATTGACCAAGAATATGAATATCAAAAAAATTCTGATTGTATTTCCAATCAAACGATGGAGGAAACCAGACAGACTAATAAAAATCTTACATACATTGCACAAGAAAGTATGCTTAACTTTCAGAATAACGTTAGTTGACCGTCTGATAGTTGATATTTTGAGATGCAGTGTCACGTATTAAAACTGAAAATAACGTTTTCTGAGTTGCATGAACAGACAGAACAATAAATCAGCTAAAGTTATTAAAAGTTCAGCTTACTCTGTCTAATGCCGGACACATTAAATTTGTATTAATCTTTCTAACTTCGAACTATTAATTTTTTTGAACTTTAGCTTTAATCTTTCTCTACAAAACAGTGTATTTCAATCAACTATGTACATATGTACTTTGTATAAATAAAGTCAATTTCCAGAACGAAGTGAAAAGTTTTCGACCACCTTTAAGTATACCAGATGACTGGTATAGTAATTGTTTTCTAGAAATATGTTACTTATATTTCTTTCTGCCAAAAATATCACAACAAAGAGAAATAGTGAGAAAATGATGACTGTGAATCAGCTGTATAAATTTTTTCGTTGATAAATATTCATATTGATAAGGATACCTTGGCACAAATCAAAAGAAAAATTTTTGCTTTATATCTGCTTCGTAATGGAATTTAGCATCATTCCCCCTCGGACAAAAAAAAGGAAAATTTTCTATTAGCTCGTTCTCCTTTGTTTTTTTATTATTATATCTTCATTCATATATGCATGGATAGAGCAAAGAGTAAACTACATTTATATATATGTAGGCCATTTGACTGACGTATTATTTCAAATTTCTTCAATATATACAAAAAGGTCCCATTTTCGTGATATTCAACGAACAAAAATAATACTCTTTTGGAGACAAAAATTTTTTTTTCAACAAGGAATTATGCTGTTTTATAAGGATATATTTATTAAATAATTATATCAGACACAAATATATAACAGTATAAATTGCACACATAATATACAAGAGACTATTCATTAGCTCTCTCTTGAATTTCAGTTAAAGCATGAGAAATGTAAGATTGTATGACTTTCTGTGGTATATCATTGCATGCATTGTCTATTGCTGCATTTAATTGTGCTGCTGTTTTTGGCTGTTGTGCTGCTACGTTCGATTTTATCCAAGACCAGACATATTCTATACCATTAAATTCCGGAGAATATGCAGGAGCATCTAGCACTTGAATGCCATTATTTTTAAACCACGTAAGAATTGGTCCTGATTTATGATATGAAATATTATCCTGGTAGAATTTGTGTCTTCGCAATTTTGAAGTATGTGGTCCTACATGAGTAGAGAGGAGATAATGATACGTTGCTGAATTCATATACCCATCATATCTACTAAATGCTTTAAAATTCCAACCAATTACACCCCATACTTGTGCATGTGCTTTGATATTATCAACAACATGTGTAGGTCGTGGTTCGCCAGGCTTACACCATGCAATAGTACCAACATCGTTCATCGTAAATATTTTTTCATCACAAAATAACCAATTTTTAATATTATCATTGGCTTGCAACTGTGCAAAAGCAGTTTTGGTCTCTTCTTGTGTCGATGTGAGTGATTTTTTTATTTTTTGATGATAAGGACGGTATCCTAATTCACGACGATAACGTTGGATAGTTCTAGCGCTAACACGTTTACCGGTATTTTCGAATATTTCATTTGCAAGTGCTGTTGCAGTAGCTGTTGGTTTTCTTTTGATCATTTTATCCAATTTTTGTTTTTCGACTCCTGAGAGAGAATGTGGACGACCAGATGATACTCCCCCAGTTATATTTCTCGTGTTGTAGTAACGAGATAATATTTTTTGGACAGTACCAGTCGAACAGTGATGCTTTGCTGCAATTGTTGTTATCTTCTTTCTGTCTCTTTCTCTTTCCATTATTATTTGAGTTCGTTCAATATCGTCAAAATGAGCCATTTCAGTTGTTATATATTATTCGTTGATTATCTCATATATATATATGCTGTCCTACTTATTTTTCTTTTTCTTTGTTCTTTATGTTCCATGTTCCTTTTTGTCTCGTCCAATTGTCTGCATATATATATTCTCTTCTGTCTCGTTCGGATTATCATCTTTTCTTTACCTACTTTCATATCTTATTATAGTTTAAATTATAAGTTTTTGTTCGTTGAATATCACGAAAATGGGACCTTTTTGTATATATTGAAGAAATTTGAAATAATAAGTCAGTCAAATGGCCTACATATATATAAATGTAGTTTACTCTTTGCTCTATCCATGCATATATGAATGAAGATATAATAATAAAAAAACAAAGGAGAACGAGCAAATAGAAAATTTTCCTTTTTTTTGTCCGAGGGGGATTTTAATGTATTTATAAAATTCATTTTTTTGGTATCTATCGTATTTCCAATAACATTTGTTTTAATTAGCAGAAGACATCAGATTCTAGTAACTCTTGTAATTCTTTTTAATTTTCTTTTTTCGCTAGTCTTAGTACATTCATGGAGCCAAAAACGTCCTTGCAGAAACTGAGACATTTCATGAAAGCATTAGCTTTTCAAACAAAAAAAAACTTGAGTACCGGGAGAGGCAAAAGTTTTACAACATTTTTTGCTTTGCATGTATCTCTGTCCCGGAGCATACCAAAACGTTGATCTTTGTTTTCAAAAGATGCGCCGTCGAATTCTTTACAAACTTCTATTTGCCTTAATTTAGAACAAAAGACTTTAACATTTTTACAGGTCGCATAGTGTGATTATGTGAACTGAGTCTACTTCCCACACATTTTTTTATAGTTTATTCTTTTCGTGCTAGCGAATATTTTATTGTTAAAACATTATTGACTGGTAGACAGTTTTTGAAATCCTCTGTCGATTGTATACATATGCGACATTTTTAAATGCTCATTCTTTCGGTTAGGTGCATTGCCATATTTTGAAAACAGCGCGATTTTCAAGCTTGGCTACTCCTTTTCAAAGAGAGCATTCTAGAAGTGTTATCTATGGCCAAACCGAGTTCATTTTCCCAGTATTTTGTAAAAAATTGATTTCTCTTTCTATGTGGAGTCCAAATAACACATGGCAAAAGGATTGCGCTGGAAGAAGAATTCGAAGTGTCAAGAGGGCCGTTTTCGTTGTAGCAGCTCAGAGAGATCATAGTTTTTAGATAAATATAGATTGTGAACAAATGTTTACAAATAATTTTAAAAGAGTTTTTGATGTACACCAAATTCCAAAGAGAAAATCTCTTACTTGCCTGTTTATAACTTGAAAAGATCGTTGGAACAACAAAAAAAAAATGAGTGGGAAGCAGACCCAGTTCACATAATCATACTATGCGACCTGCAAAAATGCTCATTTCTTTTGTTCTAAATTAAGGCAAAAAGAAGTTTGTAGAGAATTTGACGGCGCATCATTTGAAAAAAAGATCCACGTTTTGGCATGCTTCTGAACAGAGATACATGTAGAACAAAAAATGTTGCGAAACTTTTGCCTCACCCGGTATATCTCTTACTGTAATACAATACCACTAGAGATCCATCATTGAAGAACTATTGTAACAAAACCGACCCAATAGTGAGTTCGACTTAATATTATGCAATACTTAAATATCAGCTCCCTCATTATCAATAAAAAATATTTGATTCAGGGTGCGAGAAATTAAAATATTCAAGGTCTTGGTTGGTTCCATTGTTTTCGGAACTATCGGGCTCTATCGATCACTTATACTTATTATATAAAAACATCAGATATGAAAATCATTATTTATAGGAAAAAATAGATTATGCATAAAAGTTGAGACAGTCATATGATTCTTTAACTAATTTTTCGCAAAGAGCTATAAGAAAATTTTGATAACATATTCAAAATAAAATTTTCCTATCAGAGAAGCAAATGCAAATAAAAATCTTATGATGAACATATTACAGTTAAAAAAGAAAGCATTATTGTGAGCTTTTCTCTATCGACCTCAAGTGACAGTATGCTTTAAGATGTCATAAGTCCTGATCTCTTTAGCATAACTTACTATATCGACTATTTTAATAATCGAAGCATTTGATTTCATATTAAAATGTACACTTTTTTCGAGTTTTTTTTTCTTCAATTCTATTTTGTTCATCTTTCTATTATCTATGTATTATTTTAAAGAAAGATAAATATAAGTTTGTTCAGAATTGAACTAGGCATCCTTCAAAAACAAAAAGAAATTTTATCTTTTCTCTAAATCTGGCCATCCCATTAATACCCGCAATTTTCAAATTATCCCTAAAATCTACAGATCTCTACTTTTTATTATGGAAAGCTCTGATACACTTAGTATTGAACTAGTCAGTACTTCAAAAGCAAACAGTATTAGTTTCCAACGTTTGCCATAAGTTCAAATACAACAACGTAACGGAGGTCACCTGTATGCGCATGCTTATGAGTCCTTTCCGTAGATTGTCATTTATCATTCAGCAAATCATATGATCAGAAATATTCTCCAAGTAAATGAAAAACATCATGAATTCCTTATTTTTGGCAATCTCGTTACAAGATCCTTATAAAAATGCTGGAGAGAGTTTAAGCTTGTTAGGACTACTACTGATAATGAAAACTACGACTAAAATCTCTGTTTTCCAATCGATAGGTAACATACTATTACTATTAGACTTCTCAACATTTTGAAGAATGCTAACTCCTGCAATAACCTCCTTAGAAAGATCTTTCCATAATTTGGAAAGAATCTTAAAATCATATGATCAGTACGTTCTTCGAACCTAGAATTAATATCCAACTAGAATCTTCTCAGTTTTTCTTTCAACGATTTAAGCTTCCATAAGATCAGGGTGTGAGTGTGGCTGTGAGTTGAATATAGGTATCGCTCACACCCACACCCAACTAATTTCAACTCTCAAATTTCATCTATTTCTAAAGAATGTTGAAATATTAGTTAGGATAGTCTTAAATCTTTTTTCGTCATCTAGTTCTGTTCATTGACATCTGTTGAATAATAATGACCTGGGTAATTCATGTTCATATTCTTTTATTAATATCGTATCATATGAGTCGAGATTCTCTCAACTTTGAAGCTTATACGTTTTTTTACAACACATACCGTTATGTATCCTACGATTGACTGATTGTCCCGTGTTATGCATTGTTGCATATTTTCTTAATTCTCATGAAACAAATGCACTGACCTTTCGAGTTTATGTCATTAGCCTCTTTTTTTGTCAAGGAAATAATTGCTTTTTCTTGTTCCCATTGAGATTTCAATGGAAAAAGATCATGGAATCATTCATCTAATAAAAAGAAATATATATTGACTTTTTGTTGAAACCAACCTTCGATTATTGTAAAATCATCCATGTTTTCGTTGGCAGCTGTAAATTCATATCTTCTCTATATGTCGCCTTTTACAATTATTATTTATATTATGATATGGGTAACAGTATGACAAACTTCTCAAAAAGAACCTACTTTTATAAACAATCTCATACATCAAATTTTAAACTAACAAATGTAAAACGTAATTAACAATAATATTTTTTTTCACATGAACTGCGATGCATTACTCTCGCTAAAAAGCATATGGTCAAATTCTTTTTCAGTAGAAACTGTAAGTTTTAATGATATGTTATTTTCTTTAGTGAAAATGAGTGTTTCGTTTCAACTAGAAATGAAGTTCTTTTAGAATTATTTTAACTTTCTGTTGCTCTTCTCGGCTGTGTAGAATCGGTCTGAAATTTAATTTTGTTTTGAAGTTTACTCATATGTCATTTACATTAAGCTCGAATATTATAACACAATTATAGAGCAAATAATAGAGGCAGAATGCCGTATAGAAATTATTTCAAATCAACTAGCAAAGATATAACTATTTATTGATGGATGATTTTCTCATTTACAATATGCAGTTCAATTTAATTTTTTATTTCGATAATAAAAATAAATATTAATTTGACTGTGAATAACTAAAAACTTCATACATTATTGATCTAGGATTTATATCACATAAATAGATATTAGTGAATGATGATGTCAGCCGTAGACATGCTTTATGATAGCTTGAAGCATTACTTCAATTCACAGTTCACGTAAAGAAAGTCACTAACATTAAAGAATTTCGGAAATTTTCATGACTGTTTTTTTTCCCAAGATTCAGATATTGACGGTGCAATTGATATAAGTAAAAAACTTATGCAAAAGTGAAGATCAACGTAATGAACCGAAAAAAATTTAACTTGATAATTTCTCAGTTTTTCAAGTAACAACTCGTCATCTCTTGCTTTCGCATTTATTTGTATGCAACCAACTAAAAAACACAAAAACATCACTAAATCAAGTCATGGAAAGCATTTATTGAGCTAATGTCTATTTAGATCTATAACTATTTCACTTTGTTCACACGTGATCGGTTTTCTTTGAATGAACTGTCAATTGAAGCGATACTTTAAACGATCGTAAAACATATCTATGGTCGATTTTAACAATTTTAGTCATTCAAAGTTAACGACAAATTTATCTACATTATCGAAATAAAAAATTATTTCTAACTATATATCTTTATGACAAAAATCATGTAACAAATAGATAACTATTTGTTCTCTAGTTGAATAGAATTAACTTTTAATATAACAACTATATTAATTGTTTCTCATTGACATTTAGATAATTAGTTTATGATATAATTGATCTATTTTTCTTTGCTCGATTGAAGTTTCAACAAACTTCTCCTAGCGGAACATAATTTCTTTTAAATTTCTATACTTTCGTAAAGTGACAATACGAAGCTAAATATTGAATACGTCAAAAACAACTATTTATCATTTCATGTAGAAAGAAAATGAATCACTATTTATTTATGTTTGAGTTTTCTCATGAGAAACAGACAAAACTAGTATGTGTACATTGTTCATCTAACTGAATGTGCCATATAAGAAGAAGGTAATCTCATCTATTCAGCCCATATATCGATATATGGATATGCCCAATCTATCAAAATATAAAAACAGATTACAAAAACAAAATACCAACAGAAAGATACATGTTTTGAAATAAATGACTTTGAATCATTTTCTCGATTACGAAAATTCAATTAGAATTATTTTTGAGAATTTATTTTGTTTAGGATAGACTCAATAAATTGTTATCAAAATGTATATTGGAAAAGAAAAGCGTTACGTATTTGAAATAGTTTTGCTTTTAAAAATAGATATTCACTATTAGAAAATAAAATTGTATTTCTGCGCAGGTCAAATTTTTGCTCATGACAGACTATCGATTCGATTCAATAATATTGGTAAGAAAAATTATTATTACTCCGAAATGTAAAAAAAAGAAATAACTATTTTAAAAAGTTCAATTAAAAACAGTTTGTAAGATTCAATGATTGAGACCTAATTTTTACTATACTTCGTTTGCTTTGACAGTTAATTATACAGCAAAGAAAAAATTCATTGAACTGAGCCAAAGTATAAAGTCTGTTATTGAATTGATTCATAACTTCTATTGTAAATGAAGACCATTTCTTTGAGCCACATATTTTGATTTACAATGAGCTCGACTTGCTTGATATCTTATGAAATGAATGAGTCATTGATATATAACAGTTATGTCTTTCGTTAATCGATTCAATGGATGTAAATCAAATAAATTCGGTGACTAACTAAGCTTGTCAAACCATGTCAGCAATACACATTTCTTTCTTCTGTGACAGTCTCTAAGTTACGTAAGGGTGACTTCAGAGATCATCACGGTTCGGTGCTTAATTAAATTGATACTGTTTAGATCAGTATATCGATATGTAAGTTAAGGCAAGTGACCATGAAAACATTCATACAGCTTCTTGTCTTTCTCCGTCTAAGAACAACGAGGTTATTAATAAGCCGATTATATTCTATGAAGAGAAAATTATTTACGTAATGATAAAGTCGTAACTAATTACACAATTATGATAGGGTCTTCTGTTTTATCGAAGATATCACTCCTTTGGGAGGTCTTTTGATGTGCAGCATCTTTTTTTTATTCAACTCGATTTAAATTTTTTCATGTAACCCGAGATAGGATAGAATATTTCATGAGAAGAATCAATTTGACAGTAGACGAAGTTATGTACCAGTGATTTCTACATATTTTGAGATTTGATTTTTCTTTTTAAAATAGGCTTTTCTTCACGAAAACCACAAATAAATTAAATTTTTGTTTACTCTTACTTTCTAATAGTAACTTGGCTCCTCCAATAAATTTACAATTAACTAGATAAAAGTATAACTTTCGATTGGAAACAACTCAGTTTCTTCTTTGTTCAACTGCATTTCCTTTTATTTTCTGTTGAAATCATTGCTTTTTTTATACAAAGATAAGCTTTAGTGAGAATTCAAGAATAATTGATGACGTAGAATATCCCAAAGGAGAAAAAGCTGAAATGTAGATTATCATTGATTGTTTTTAACTGTCAGTTAAAGTTCATGAAATGAGAAATGTCGAATGGATTGGATTTTTCTCTTATTTATATGTTGTTTTAAAAAGTCAAAATATAAATAAAATTCAATATATGATCAAAAGTAATCTAGTTTCTCTTATTCTTATTTCCTAAACCATCTAAAATTAATCGATTCTGATTTAGTATCAACAACTAAACAGAATAATATAATTTAATTGAGTTTAACATTAATAAAACTTGAAAGTCTGTTCGATGCAGAT